GGCCACGTATCAAATATCTGGTAGGGGCCCATCAGGGCCGGCTTAAGGCAATCCAGCGCCTTAGGCACTTAAAAAGTTGGCGCCTATTACTAGATACTTACTTGCCTTATTATCCCTTAAAAATTAAAATATTTTTTATTAAAAAATTACATATAAAACATAATTTAAAAATGTTTAAGACGAGTTATTGTTTTAGACATATTTTGATTTAGTTTTAAAATAAATAAGTCAAAAATGACTAATTATATTAAGTCATATTTGAATTATTGTCATAGCGACAAAGCAGTCACTAATAATTATTAGCAGTCACTAATTATAATTAGTCAAATTCTACGGAATGAAACAGTCAAATTAGTAGACGCACCTCTGCTACTTATTAAATTTATGATATCTGTCAATAAATATTGTTAATAAAATTGTTAAAGTTGAATATATTTTTTGTGTTGGAGCTAAACTTTTTGCATCTTTATTTTTATGGACCACGGAGCCTATATGCATTTAACGCCGCAAGAATTCAAAACGATTAAAGAAATCAGTTACTTATTACTCTCAGTAACAGTAAAATATGGCGACTTATCTTAAATTAGTCAAACTTTAACTAATTAAGTATACTATAGTAAAAAATAAATATTTAAAAGTAAAAACGACTATTTAATTAGTAAACAATGCTGATACTAATTCAAATAGTAGAATTTTTACTATTTCATTTCAAGAGAGTAAATAACCATATTTGGTAAATTATAATTATAATTATATATATATATATATATATATATATATATATATACATACATATATATAATATAAGTAGTTTAAATAAACTTAAATTGACTTAAGAGTTAAAAAAAAGTTAAAAAAGGGTAAACCAAAAACTATCAAATATTAACTTCTTTTTAACCAAAGTTAACCAAGAAGTTAAGTTTAACTATCATAACGTTAATTTTACCATAATTAAATTCCCCACTTATTACAAAATAACGTTAATTTAACCAGTGGTGCTACTTGGGTAGTAAGTATTTAAAAAATGTTAAACAGCTTTAATTTCCTGTAGTTTTATGTAAGGCATTACACCGCGTTATTACAAAGGAAGCCGATGTTTTATAAAATAATAAAAACAGTAAAGAATATTCGGTGCTCTACCGTTCTCATAATTGTATACAGTATATTTGCTTTATTTTTTGGAAAAATAAACCATTTGGTAACAATTTTTTTAAGTTGGTTGGGGACAATGCGCCTATTTTTTGTGGCGCCTAAGGCAATTGCCTTGCCTGCCTAATGGGTAATATGGCCCTGGGGCCATACGAGAAAAGCTGCTGGCAAATAAAATTCTGGGTGTCACGCCCAAAGTCTAATTTGGAAAATCAAAAAAATGTTTTAGGGTATCATTTTTTTGAATTTACCAATTTTTTATAATTTTAAAATTTGGCCTGGTTTTAGACATTTACCGTTCTTCAACATCTTTTAAAAGGTTTCTATTTTAAAATAAAGGCAAGTCATTTGAAATAATTGTAACGCTAATAATTATTTCTAATTTGCTATTAATATAACCTATGATAATAACACGCAAAGCAGACTCAGTATGCGGCGCAGAGCACAGAACAATATGCGCAGACTGCGCCGCCGACAACGCATAGCGGAAAGGTGCGGGCAGAAACAATTCGTATGAGTTCACGGCCTCGTTGAAACAGGAGCGTATTTAGGAAAATTCAATAAATTGAAGTATAAACAATGAAATAATAATATTTTTATTTATTTAACATGTGGGTAATATGTTTTTTGTTTACGCATGTCGAAGCCAATCGTATCATTGATACGGCTGATACCGCGGTAGCTACGCCCCTGGTTATTTTGCAAATAATTTTGTTTACCCCAGAAAAAGTTTTTGGCTTGGTTCCGTTTCTATAAACGCTATCCGAATTTAATTAAATGAGTGTCCAGAAACGTTTATAAACGAGTTGCATAGTATACTTTTTTTGCGACAAATAGGTACTTACTTATTATTATCTTAAAATGATTTAAATTAAATATTTGTATATATCGACATCTATAAAACAATAGAATGTATCCCTTGAAAATGGACCGTTTAAATACGATATAAAAGCAGTTTTTTACAGTGAAAATAAAAACAAATGTTTTATTGGCACTCCACAGGAAAGTATCCATCCGAAATTAAGTTAAATCTAGTTTACTGCCAGCGAAATTAAAAGGTGAGTACAATGTTCATCGTATAAACTTTTTGTATTTTTGTATTGAGATAATAAAATAATTTGCACATTTAGTATTATTTTACAAGAAGGGCAATTTATTTTTACGATTGTATGATATTTGAAAACTGTCAACTAACTTAAAGCTAACTTCAGCCCGTGACTAAAACGCCGTAAAGCCACAACTTGTCAATGTGTCACTTATTGTCATGGAAACATGTACGGTAATCGACGTTTTATAGGTGAAAGTAGTAAAAATTACTTAATACACGCCTTGTCAATGTAGAACCCTAGCGGTTTCATGCTTACAATGAAGTTGCGGTCAATTCTAGTCAATTCGAGTTAATTCAGGGTCCATTTCCTTTACCTACAATCGATGTTCTGTTTGCGGTTATAGTACAGTCCAGCCGTACCAATCAAATAAAATGTAGTTAAGTCGCATACCACTAAAAAATAACATATTTTCTTGGTTTATGCTAGAACTTGATGGCACAAGATTTTCCAATGTCTTTAGGTCTCTTTTCAGCCACTTTGTTTTGTAAAACACATTAATTTCGCATTCTATAAGAATATAGGTTGTGTTACATAATCTAGTTAGGAGTTATCTATCTCACCGGGTACGGTTGTGTTTAGAATTCTTTCTATAAATTTTACTTTTAACATGGGTTTAAGTAGTAAAATAAATTTTAAAACTTTATCAATCTGTGCATTAAGTGATTGTTAAAATGTTAGTGTTTTGAGTTTGTTAAATTGTGCTGGGATTAAGTGACTTTAAGTAAAAATTAAACTGTTATTTTCTCACAGACTTGAGTTTAAACAATACAAAAAATATTAACAAAAACTATTCATAAAAAACATTGAAATCAAAAATAAAATCTTTGCGGGCAGCTGGGTTTGAGCCCGGTTCGCCTGGTCCGCGATTGTTCGTGCAGCAAAAATCAAAATCAAAATCAATATATTTCTAAATTAAAATAATTACAAGTCATAAAAAGGGTATATAATAAAAGGCCGCAATGTGGTGATGTGGTTGGCTGTAAAGAGGCGCGTGGAAGTGTGGTTCCAACTCTTGAGCCTCCCTGCGGTGAAGATGCGTGGTACGGTTGGTAGCAGCGCAGTCTTCCGACGGTCTTTGTCCCTTGTATTAGCCCTTTTTATTAGCATGGAGCTTGTCTGGCCTTTTCTCGCAGAGCGAATGTGAGGCCAGCTTGATCCGGGTAGAAGAATAAAGTCTAGAAAAATTTACGGAAAAAAGAATGGTGATGTTAAAAAGTTAAAAGAATGATTTCGAGGGAAAAATAATTGAAAAAACCCTCTTAAAAAATTTGGAAAAATACATAGAAGATGGAAAAGAGTTAAGAAAAAGACCTGCAGCACCCTGGTACTACGGTTGGATTTGAAGTCTGGTTGGAGATGTCTCAAGGTCAAGAACCCTAAAGTCCTAAATCAACAGACATCTCCCACGTCGCGTATTGTTCTGAGGGTTAAGCTACCGCAGCCGCCTTGGCGAACTCGACTATACAGGACGATATTAATTAGATGCTATAATGTCTACTAACGAATCAGCAATAAAACCTTGCAAAAGGTGTAAAAGTGTTCCAGTCGGAGGTTTTCTTAAATGCTCAGTTTGCGAATCAGTTATGCATCCCAGCTGTGCAAAACTATATAAAAATGTAAAGCAAATAAATAGCAAGGAAATAATATGCTGTGAATTAACTGAAGCTGTGCCCCAAGCTGTTTTACGAAATAAGTTACCATCAATATCAGATGATCCACTTATGTTGGAAATTTACTTTTTAAAAGAAGCTTTAAAGCAAAAGGATGAATTAATAGAATATCAAAAAATAACCATTAATTCACTTAGAGATCAAATAGATTTAATTAATATAATGAAAAGTAGTAATGGTAAATCCATGAAAAACCAGAAAAACAATGAAAAATTGGAAAATAATAAAAAGACTATTGTAAATTCTGAAGCAAGTGAATCGGAAAAGTCATTACAACAAAAAATATCTGTTAAAGAAGTAAGTACAGCTATTTTGCAAGCAAAAAGTCAAACTGTTTGTGAAAATCTTATTAATAATCAAGTTTCGGATAATCAAAGTTCATCAGCAAAAAATCCAAGTTTGCTTGAGAATGATTGGAAAACTGTTGTTGGAAAAAATAAGAAAGCCAAAATTGAACAAAAAGTTGTAAAAAACAAAAGCACCGACAAGTTTATTTCAAAGAACACAAGTGTATCTGGTGCCAGAGCAAAGCTAAAGCCAGATACAACCTGCGAAGAGATTCTTAATGTGTTAGAAGAATTTGATTCTGTTTCGACGTTTAACGTGGACAGCCACATTTCAAAAAATTCAACTTCAAAAGGAAGTTTTATTATAAAAGCTCCAGCGAGACATGAAGTCACCTTAAGAAATCCTGATTTTTGGCCTGAAAATACATATGTAAACCGATACTATTTTCCAAAAAAATCAACTGGGAACACTAAAGAAAATTTTCCAGAAGCTCCGAACAACCCGGCAGCGACCTAAAAATTGAATGTTTTCACATTAATATTCAGTGCCTATCCAATAAGGTTGACTATAAATCGATTCCTTATCATTTAAATATCATTTTCTCTGTTTCTCTGAACATTGGGCTTCAAAAGCCCAAATACAGTCACTTGTTTTGGAAAACTAGTGCCTTTTTACTTTTTATTGTAGAGATGTGAGAATTCATGGTGGTGTCTCTATTTACGTTTACCGGGATTTTGTTAGTTGCTGTACTGCAAGGACAGACTTAACTGACTTAAGCCAGGAAATGGATTTGGAGATTTGCGCTTTGGAATCTAACCTCTTAAATATTGTACTTGTTTGCGTCTATAGACCACCAGGTGGTGATTTTAATAAGTTTATTGATGTATTTGTTAATTTACTAACAATACTTAATAATTCTGAAAAAAAACTTATTATTATGGGTGATTTTAATATTAACTTTAATGTAGTAAATGCTAGACAATTGGAACTTCTGGATCTATTAGGGACTTTTGATTTAAATAAAACTATATTTGAAAATACCAGAATTAATTCGTGTATTGACAATATTTTTACAAACGTTTTACCTGATTTTTACGATAGCTTTGTTTATGATCCCGGTTTATCAGATCATGCCTCAGTTAATTTTCATTTTGTATTATCATTTATTGATAATCCAATATCAACTAAAACTATAACTCCTATTACCCAAAGAGGTCTACATTTATTTTATAATTATATTTTAAATCAAGATTGGAGTTTTGTTACAAGCAATTTTGGTATTAATGATAAGTTTTCTTTGTTTTTAGATATATTACAGGAGGGTAGTAAATTTGCTTTCCCATCCAAAAATATTCGGGTAAGGGGCAATAATTCACACACCAATAAATGGTTCAATGATTCGTTAAGGGAAAAACGTGAAAAATTAAACTTTTAAGGGATGCTTATAAGTATACTGGAGACCCTTATGCATTTACTGAGCTTAAACGTTTAAAGCGTGAATATAGATCAGATATTAAAACAGCCAAACGAGATTTAAATAATAGTTTTATTGCCAATGCCAATAACAAATGTAAGGCAGTGTGGCAAATTATTAATGAAAATCAGGGGAAAAAATATACTGTTTCAACTCCAACAAGCATTAATGCTAATTAATTTAATTTATTTTTTACAAATGTTGCTAATAATATAGTAAACAATTTGCCAGCCATTTCTCAACCTGTCTTGAGCAATAACATTAAAAAAAATCTTAATAATTTTAAGTTTTCTTTAATAACTTTTAATGTCCTAAGAGATATAATTGTGCAACTTAAGGATTTCCGATGCATGGATGTTTATAGGTTGAATTCAAAAATGCTTAAATCAATTGTTCACCTAATCATCTATCCAAATTATTTAACGAATCAATTTTAAAAGGGGAATATCCCTTAAGCCTTAATATTTCCAGGGTTTTACCTTTGCATAAGAAGGGCGACATTAATGAACTTAATAACTATAGGCCAATTTCAATAACACCTATTTTAAGAAAGATTTTTGAGAAGGCATTGGCAAAACAAGTTGCAATTTATTTTGAAACGTTTAACCTTTTTTCAACGTCACAGTATGGTTTTCGACAAAACTTATCTACAAGTATTGCAGTAAGTCACCTAGCCGAGTTCATATGTGGCTCATTTGAGGAGGGAAGTTTTGCGGGTACTGTTTTTTGTGACTTGTCAAAGGCTTTTGACTGCGTTTCAAGGAAAATCCTGCTTGAACGATTGAAAATGTATAATTTCTCAGATATTGCTGTGTCACTGATGTCGTCTTTTTTATCGAATAGATATCAAATGGTCCAAGTTAACAATACAGTATCTGACGTTTTACCTTTGAATCTTGGAGTACCTCAAGGCTCGGTTCTTGGACCGATTTTTTTTTTAATCTTTATTAATAGCCTACCAGTGGATCTACCGGCTTTAAAATTATTTTTATTTGCTGATGATACAACAGCAGTGGTAAAAAATAAATCATTTGAGAATGTAAGTCTGAAAATGCTTGAAACCCAGTCAAAATTAAGCTCATGGTTTGCTTGTAACGGATTGTGCTTAAATTTGGAAAAGACAAAGACCTTCTACTTTTCTCTGCGTCAGCTTCCGTGCCCCAACGAAATAGATTCAGTTGTTTTTCTGGGTGTAAGGCTTGATTCGGGGCTGACTTGGGCTGCACACGTAGATGATGTGTCAAGGTCTTTGTCTTCATGTGTATATTTGCTGAGGCGCCTAAGCTTGATGGTCTCAGAAAATGTCCTAAAATGTGCCTACTTTGCTTTGTTTCATTCAAAAATGAGCTACGGAATTCTGGTTTGGGGACATTCCTCTCATAGCCAACGTATATTTGGACTCCAAAGAAAAGTTGTACGTATTCTAAAAAGGATAAACTATAGAGATGATTGCAAAGCTGCCTTTCGGGAGTTGGGCATTTTAACATTACCCTGTACATATGTATTAAATTGTTTGTTATATGTTAGAAGTAATTTGCATTTGTTTAATACCCGAAGGCAAGAAAGTAGTGTCAATATGCGAAACTCTGGTGATATTCATTTAAATTTTCATAGACTTAACAGAAGCCGAAATGGCATAAATTATTATGGTCCAATGTTTTTTAATAAACTTCCACAGTCCGTAAGAGATTTAAGTTTTAAACAATTCAAAATGGTATTAAAATCATTTCTTTTAAAGCATAGTTTTTATTCCATGTCTGATTATCTTAATTATAATTTTAATTTGTTTTATGATTGATTGGGCACCGATTTGTTATTTTAATTATGTATTTTAATTAGGTATACTTGTAAATGTTTTATTTATATTTTATTTTTCACTGCTTTTTAAAATATGTTAAAACTTGTATATAATTTTGTTTGTTCAACACGTAGTCAACTTTTATTTCTTAAACACTTATGTACCTTTTTATGACTGCCTAAACATGTATTTATATGTATGATGCTAATAAACTATTATTATTATTATTATTATTATATTCTTCATAGAACGCAGAAAGAAGACATAGGTTATGTTTCATAACCTATATACTTCATAGAATGCATTGCCGTGTAGTAAAATGAACGTGTTTTCTAATTCAACAATATGGATACGTGACTGAAGAGAGACCAACAACACAACATTATTTATGTTACTTTTTAGTCAATTGTAAATATGAGCAGAAAAAAACATGTAGTGGGAAAAACAATTCTATATTAAATGAAAGTCTTAGCTTGCCATCCAACTAACATCAAACTGGAAAAATGGTTTTTCATTAACGTCTTTTGGGCCGTAGTGGAGTATGATTCTTTACTTCCGCTGTGACGTGTGGGCAGCCCAGTTCTGCAACACACATAGTGGGCCACGCCCGTTTGTACCGTAGACGGTGGATATTTATCTCTTACCGCTGTCGCTGTATCTGTTTGCATATATACTATATATTATATAGGGCTCTCGGCAGCGTGCTTACACACCACGTGCGAGAACCATCGATAAATAGTTTTTGGAAGTATGTGACTAAAAATAGTTATCAATAGTTTTTTTAAAGAAAAGTAAGTAGATATAAATTATTTGTTCCACTGTGCGTAGGCCTTAATTGTATTTCAGTAAAGACATTTTTGTTGGTTTGGTGTAGGTGACTGCACTTGACTTTTTGTTTATGTTAACGTCTGTTTAGTTTTAGTACCTGCGTAAGTTTTGTACCGATATATATATATATATATATATATAGGTATATATATATATTAGAATAATTACGTTTGCTGTCCTGTGGGAATTCTCATTTGTATGTTTTATTTTCCTGCTTTAGATGCGTTGAAGAGGCTTAACCTCTTTGAGAAAATGCAAGATTTCTTTCTTTGTAGAGAATGTAAATTAAATCATGCGGATTTAGCTATTGAACTTATCTTTTGTTGCTACTGTCCACTATCTTTGGTTCCTTCGAAAGACTGGTACTTTGAGTTCACCTGAACAGGTAGTGTAACTGATTTCTTACATTCTTAACTTGTTGTATGGCACTGCACTAATACAGTATTACTGTATACTGTATTAGCGCTTTGCTGAGTCTGTAAGACATCGGGAGACAGGTACTTAACAACTGAGCATATAAGCTGAGGGAGTAATTTGTTTTGATTGTGTTCCACTACACCAAGTTGCCCGACACTGATGAGACCCAATAAAGGTCGAAACAGCTGTCTGTCGGTATTTGAAGTTGGTGGTACCCATTCAAAACAAAAAACTTTGGCGAGGTGTAGGTTCAATTTTTTCTTATATTCTTATGAATATTACCAGTGATGGGTCAAGAAAGTTTCTTAAAGAAACTAAGAAAATTGAATGTTTACCTTAATGTTTAGCCCGTTTGGGTTAAGTCTAGATTCCTTTAGGCCATATTAGTATCTGTGATACAATTGCTGTGTGCAGTCCCGGTTGCATAGTATGTACCGATTGCAGCAAAGGCCACGTCGTTTGACGGTGTGGATCACCTGATGTTCTTACATCTCGCCTCTGTTGACTTAACAACTGAGCATATAAGCTGAGGGAGTAATTTGTTTTGATTGTGTTCCACTACACCAAGTTGCCCGACACTGATGAGACCCAATAAAGGTCGAAACAGCTGTCTGTCGGTATTTGAAGTTGGTGGTACCCATTCAAAACAAAAAACTTTGGCGAGGTGTAGGTTCAATTTTTTCTTATATTCTTATGAATATTACCAGTGATGGGTCAAGAAAGTTTCTTAAAGAAACTAAGAAAATTGAAGGTACTTGATTTACCTGCGGTAGTGGTTTTGGGCTTTAATTTCGCACTGTACACACTTAAAATTGCTTAACAAACTTAATTATACTGTGACCGATTTATTGTTACTGATAGGCTTTTATTACTTCCTTACCCTTTAGAAGCGATCGCTTGCGCGTCTGCATCTTATGATGGCTCAAAACGTAGTTACAATTACAATTACAGTTACAATTACATTTTTAAAAAATTGGGTTTTATAACAATTAATTTTATAACAATTAAGATGTTTTTATGATAATTTTAAACAATTCTATAACAGAACGAAACAGTCCCAAATGGTTTTGGTATTTGTGTTTTATTTTAGTATACTTACATCTTCATAAAATAAATCAAACAAAACAAAACACATATGCTTTGAGCAAATCAGAAAGATGAAATGAAATAAATACATTTCATGTACACAATGTGTGTGTATATATATACGTGTACGCGTACAAAATACACGAATGTTGAAAAACAAACAGACAAAGTGAATCGATGGGTAGCAAAATTAACCGAGTTGGCAAAGCCATTTAGGGTTCTAACCGCAAAAGCGTCGAAAACATAATAATGCTTTAAGTACAATTTCACGAGTCGGCGGCTTTATTAAAATCATTCGAACCCGATTTTATGTTTTAACATTCAATAAACTGCGCATCGTTTACATTTGCTCAAGACTAATGTTTATCAATACTGTGTTTGCGTGGTAGACATGTTGATATGCGAGTTAATTTCTCTTTGGGCTCTGCTTAAAAACATTAGCTATAGCTATAGTTGTTATAAAAATTGCTGTATTATTAAAAATGTATAACACGTTATTATTATTATTTCCATCATTAGGGTCTGACCATGAACAATTAAAAATTTAAATATAAAGATATGAATAATTTACACACTTCGGTTTCAATGAGTAAATATCATCATCATCGATAATTAATCATACCACGAGTTATATTTAGTGAGAAAATATAAAGAATTTTAGGATTTAACGAATTGTCAGTTTGACATTTGAAATTAAAATGTGCTTTAAAATATAAAATGACTTTTTTCTACTCCCACCTTTAAAACGCCCTTTATCGTACATGTTTCCATGACACTACGTGACCTTTTAAATACACATTGACAAGTTGTGGCTTTACGGCGCTTTAGTCACGGGCTGAAGTTAGCAACAGGTTTTTAATCACGGGCTGAAGTTAGTTTTAAGTTAGTTGACAGTTGTCAAATGTCATACAATCGTTAAAATAAAGTGCCTTTCTTTTAAAATAATACTAAACGTGAAAATTATTTTATTATCTCAATACAAAAATACAAAAATATTAAATAGTTTCTCAACGCCAATATTTGAAAAGTTTATATGAACATTGTACTGACCTTTTAATTTCGCAGGCAGTAAACTATAACTTAAATTCGGGCACGGACTCTACTGTAAAGTCCTTATAAAACATTTCCTTTACTTTTACTGTGAAAAACTGTCAATTTTCAAGATACATTTCGATTTATAAATTATAACCTTTATAATTGTGTTTATAAAATGTAAAAATGTGACATTTGACAGTTTCCCCTGTTGTTTCATAGATGGCGCTCTATACAAATTTTTGATTTAAATCATTTTAAGATAATAAATATTTGTCGTAAAAAAAGTATAGTATGCACCTCGTTTATAAACGTTTCTATACACTCATTAACTTAAGCACTCGCTCACAAGCTCGCTCGTGCCTAAATTAAATTCGTGTATAAAATGGCGTTTATCAAACTTGATACATAATATACTATAATAAACCTTATTTATTCAAACTTAATTTTATTATCGTTTACACCAACCCATCGATCTTTTAGAGTTTATAATTCATTATTTTAATCATTTAACAAACACAGTATTTAAATGTCAACAAATGCCAAATCAAGAAAAGTGTCAAAATCCTTAGCAACGTGTAAACAAGGTGATAAAAAATATTGTCGCTGTAATAAAATGCGTAACTATGGAGTACTCTCATTTTATTGGTTATAATTATAATTAATTCTATTGTCAATGGGAAATGTTTTGACGGACTGCCTGAAATCACGTGTACTTTTTAAACAAAGTAATTTCTTAAACATAAACAAAATAATCTGTAACCTTTGAAATTAACAAAATGCTTACAAAATTGCATTTATATATAACCTTTACAAAACTTTCGGTGAAATATTTTCCTTTGTTAAAATCATCCCTCCCTCCATTCCCCTTTTTAAAAATAACTCTGCATCTAAATCTTGTTTTTGTAAGCTTCTTCAACATTCTGTTTCCAATTTCTACGTGGTCTTCCCCTTGTTCTTGTATTTTGTGATTTTCATTACTAAATTTTTTCGGTAATCTTACATCTGCAAGTCTTCTTATGTATCCGTACCATAACAACTGTTCTTATTCAATACTATCTCATCTCTTCATTTCTCACCCTGTTTAAAAGCGTTGTAAAGTTGTTAGTCGTCCAGTACATAATTTCTGCTGAATGTATTTTATTTTTGTAATATTGCTTCTACCCCATAATTTACAGTTGTTTGAACAAAATTGTAAGAAATTCTTATTAAAATCTGTAAATCGCTAATTATATGATTATGGATTTTTAAAGAAAAATCAAGTAAATTTCTGTGGGTAAAAGGCATAAGGGGATAAGTCAAAAAGAGCAATTTTTCGGTAGAGACTTAAACGTGTTCGCATTAATTCAGGAAATATATTTATGGTTAGCGAGTATACCCTTTTGCTAGCATATGACATGTGCTGGCAAAAGGATATACCCCCTAACCATAAATGTATTTCCTAAATTAATGCGAACACGTTTAATGCACTACTAAAAAATTGATTGTTTTGACTTATCCCCTTATGCCTTTTACCCACAGATTTGTGCTAAATGCTGTCACTCTTTGTATTTTAACTCCAAACTCAGTAATATTATGCAATATTTAAACTTTTATGATGGTAAATAATGGGTAAACAAAATCGTAAACAGTCTGGATGGCATTTTATATTTGCACACGGAGATGGAAATTATTATCCTGTTAACATATTCGCATTGTCGATGTCGTAAATTCGGCAAAGATGAGGAAAAACAGAAATATAAAAAAGGGGAAATTCATATCGGTGGAAAACTAGCTGACTGAAGATATATTCTGGTATCGTCTTCGACGCAGCGGCGGCCTTTGCTGTATAAAGCGAGCTTGCAACGTACGCTTTCCTTTGAGTTTTTACTTCTTTTCAATCACTTAAGATACGCGTAATCTTAAACATCCATTACGAGGGTTGGTAAAAAGTTATCTTCTTTAATATTTTTGTCCAGCAAAAAAAACTCATGGATAAAACAGTAGTTCACAAAAAGGATTCTTTAAGGACTTCAATAAGGAAGTTTAGAAGTTGAACTGAGATTAATATTATTAATGAGGATCCAAGAAAATATCATTTTGGTGTTGTTTGGAACAAACTTACCTTGAAAGTGTCACTTTATTACAAAAAAGAATACAAGCTGTCCCACAGAGAAATGGGGCGTGCCGATAGCAATGGAGATGCCAAATTTAAAAATAAAAATTTCTAGGTAATAGTGTAATCGAAAGGGAGCAAAAAAGCCGAGAGCCCTCGCCTAGGTTAAACGTAGGAGATTTAAAAATTGCTATTAGACGATAGAACATTGCTGTCTTAAAGCTTAGTGTTATTTTAGTTCCAACCTTACAGTCTTATAAGTATTAAATGAGGCCTGTCAGAGCAAAGTCAGACTAAAACTGAGTAAATTGAGATAATTGATTTTTTTTTAATTCTAGATTTGTAATTTTTTTTATATATTTTATATTGAAATATTGTTGTTGTTAGTCTAGTAGCTAACTACAAGGTCTCTAGGATGCATAGTATAGGTGAAATCTGTAATTATAAATTGAAGATTGCTGACTTTAATATGAATTGCTGTAGATTGCTCATTTTGTTGTAAACGTTTAAGGAGATTTAGAAAAATAAACAAAAAAATAATTGTATTTTTATTCCTTTAATGGTTATAAAATTTAACTATACAATCAATGTGGGAAAATTCTGAACTGGACCACATAAATCTGGAGTTTCTTGTAAATCTGGCACCAGGTTGCCTCGTGCAAAAAAGTTTTTATAGTACAACAACTCATCATCTTCTTCCCACTTTGCTCCGTAATGTTTTACTTGCAATGTTTTGACATTATTTCTTACTTTACCTTTACGCCTTATTATGGTATAATAGCACAAAATAAACAAGATAACTTTTTTTATAATTCTTAAAACAATAAAACGTATATATACCTATTTTAAATATATTTTTAGTGCAATTTACTGCAATAGAACTTAACAGTATGTTCCAGTAAAAAAACACAAAATTAAATCTCTAAAATACGTTATAACATCAAATGTTAGGATGTCAGGTGACACAAATTACCAATTTCTAATGGTGGAATTGGAGATTGTATACTTTGCTGCAAATCTATCAGTGGAGATTGTCGACTTTGCACTAAATGTCATTTTTAAAATAGGATTTTAGGCAGGATTTAGCTCCTTTTGCAGCACATAAACTTTATCATCTTATAGATAATTAGTTGAAGTATAGTCTCCGCCAAAAATCTAATTTGTGACCAAAAGTGGAGATTGTCGGTTTTATACCTAAATATACCTAAACTAAACATTCTAAATTCCAAATAATTTAAAAACATGTCTAAATTTTCTTAAATCTTAAGATTGTCTATTGATTGTCCAACTGTCTGTAATTGTGAATGGTGGTCCATAACTAAAAAATTGTTGTCATTTTTGGTCTTTTGTACCTGTCCTCGTATGAAAAGAATTCATACTTTTAAATCATCTTAGTAGCCGCTGATATCAGTGCCTGCTCCGTGTTATCGCGACCGACGGTAATATCATCGCACCCTGATGTACTCCCTATACGGTCGTAATGTTGCATCGAAGCGCATCACCGAGAATCCAATAAACATCTTTTAAACAACTTATTCCGTGCTCTTCGGCCTTATATATCACGAAATAAATTTCTCCAACCAACAACTTCTTTAACCCGATCGCGGCGCAATTTATTTGCGGAATCTATAGTTCGATAAAGGTATTTACTGCGATCATTGCTTCTTCTTTTACTTTGATGCAGACGTAGTCTACTTTTCTTGCATGTCAAACTTTTCCGTCGTCTTCTTTTCTGCAGTCAGACAGTTTAACGCAACTTTCAGCATGTAAATTCCGATTTTGTCGGATTTTAGTAGACAACCTTTATCTACTAAATTCACTTATTTATGTACTTACCTTCTTTTAAAATTGTTTTTTACATTTGTGAAAATACTATGTTCAAAAAGATATTCATTGTTTAAATTTTAATTCATCACACAAAGTGTGTGCACGTGATGAAGAAAATCCGCTGATATATCGATGACTTTCTGCCAGTATCGCAAGCAACATAACTCAAATTTCGGGAATTGAAAAGATTTTTTGTTTAAAGTCTGTTTTAAACCATATATAACCTATGGGCGATTTCATGATTACTAACGGGACCAACAGAAAGAAAACAAAATGTTTTATGAAAATTTTTGAAGATGTGTTGTTTGTTTGTTTTCTTCTATAATAATAATTTTATTATGGTTCTTAGTAATTAAATTAATAATTACCATGATAAAACATTTTGTCTCCTTTCTTGTTGTCCCGTTAGTAATCATGGAATCGCCACTATACAAGGTGTCCCTAAACTTAGTGGCATAAATTTAGGAGCAGATTAAGCAAGTCAAAATAAGACGAAAATCTAAATAAATATTTTTCCTAATTACGTATGTTTAAAAGATACAGGGTGATAAAGTATTAATTATAATATTAGTTTTTTTAATATAACTTCTACTATGGTAGACTTGGAAAGGTGATATTTTGCGAACAGTCACTTACTACCAAAACACATATTCACGCATATTTACAGTTGTTCGATTGAACAGAGTGTCGTAGAAACAGGGGTTGCTTAAGCTTATTGCCCCCATACAAATTTTGAGGTTAGGTTTTATTACCATTTGAGGCAATTTTTTGATTACTTAGTTTGGCTACTATTAAAAAGGTGTACCTCTTAAACTTCGATAAAATAAACCGTTTCCGAGATATTCGAGATTACAATAATTGTTATATCGCATTAAAGGACTGAAAGGTATAGGATAATATTTTTTTTAATTGAAAAGAACAATTTTTTTTTATGTGAAGGTCAGGGCAAAAAGTCCCGAGGCTCATGGAATGCCCTTTTTAGTTTTTTCAATTAAAAAATAAAATTTGTTATCATATACCTTTAGTCCTTTGCGATATAACAATTATTGTAATCTCTAATATCTCGGAAACGGTTTATTTTATCGAAGTTTAAGAGGTACACCTTTTTAATGGTAGCCGAACTGTGTAATCGAAAAATTGCATCAAATGTTATAAAAACCTAACCTCAAAGTTTGTATGGGACAATAAGCTTAAAGCAACCACCGTTTCTACGACACTGTGTTCACTAAAACAATTGTAATTATGTGTGAATATGTGTTTTGGTAGTAAGTGATTGTTCGCAAGATAACACCTTTCCAAGACCAGCATAGTAGAAGTTATATTAAAAAAACTGATATGATAAGTAACACTTTATCACCCTGTATCTTGGAAACATAAGTAATTAGGAAAAATATTTATTTAGGTTTTCGTCTTATTTTGACTTGCTCAATCTTTTCCTAAATTTATGCCAATAAGTTCAGGGACACCTTGTATAGCTATTTGTCGATGTGACAGACCTTCAAAGATTACATATTTGCAAACGAATTACATTGCTAAGTTGAGCTCTAGGAATTTTCGAGAAAATTTTTAACACTATTGAATGTTAAACAAAACGGATTTACTTCTTCGGTTTTTACGGTGATTTTTTTGGTTCCATAACAAAAACATTCAACATTTAAGATTGGTACCACTAGACTTCAATAAATATTAATATTTTCATATTATACTTGGTGATGCAAGACTTTTGAAACTGAGTGTATTTAAAGATTTCGCAGCCTCTTACACTCACAGTTTTCTAGTGTTTTGATGGTATCTTCAAATTAATTTCACCAATTGATTTGTCGTGAAAATCTCAGCGCGGCGATCAAATAATGGATGTTTATGTAATAGGCTTTTTTACTTTGGCGAATTCCATTAAGCTAATATTTTGTATTTTTTAATTGAAGATAATGTGGTTTTAACAGAATAAATATTTCTCAAACAGACTTCCTGAATAATTCCCTTTTGGATTTTCATTTTTGTGTGGTTGCCCAGTAAGGGGTGAATATCTGAGTTCTCTGTTTTTGGACCTTAGGCATTTGACTGTGTAACCCAGGATATCCTCGTCAATAAATCAAAATATTATAACTTTAGCATTAATAGTATGTCAACGATAAAATCCTATTCAAGAAGTCAGAGACCAAACAAATTAAATTCGAAGTACCCCAAGGATCGATACTTGGGCATGCACTATTCCTAACTACCAGTAATGACTTGTCAAATTCTAGTAGTAAGTATTTCACTGCGTGAAATATTAGCAAGAAAAAGTTGGGTAAATAGCAAAAAGAAAAAATGATATAATGTGTTTCTGTGTTATGTATTTCAATGTAAACTTTTTATACTTGATTAGGAAACCTATAATTCAATTAAAAGATGGATTTCCAGCATAATCCAAGGAATTAGAGCACTTTAATGTTATACCTCGTATATTTTTAAGGGTGCCATAAAACTGCCAATAAACAAAACAAGAAAAAACTAAATTTAATTATTTTCTCCGTTAAACCATATTACACAGAGCACAATTGAAAAACGAGTCTGTTTTCTTCAACATTAACCTCTTTTAAAAAACATAAACCTATTTTTTTGTTCAGTTGCTCGAGCAGCAAAGGAGAATAATGAGTCTGCACTAAATGAGTTTACGATCGCGTATTTTCACGATTCACAAATATTGCCGTGCCAGACAATAAAGTTAATGCAGAAAATTATAATGGAGCTGAACCAGCCATATTTTGTTATTTACCACCGGTGCATCATGCTAACGAAAACAAAGCTATTTTACGAGCATAAAATATAATTGACTCCAGTTTTTTCTCCTTCGATTTTATTAATAGGAATATAAAATTGTTTTTCTTAGGTATATTACAACTTTTATCTAAAATTAAAAATTTTGTCAAAGGATACGACATCATAAAAATATAAAATTTTAGCTTAATGGTCAAAATAACCAAGGTGGTAAATTTTATTTAAAAATATTTTATAGAATGTTTTAGTTCTAGGACAATACCAAAAAGGAATTTAATTTAATTTAGAGTTTTATTTGAAATTGCCTTAAAAGTGCGCTTTTGATTTCGCGGGCAGTAAACTAGATTTAACATTCTTTTCACTTTTAATGCAAAAAACTGCTTCTATATCAGATTTAAATGGTTGTTAGTCCATTTTCATGGAATAAATTTCGATTTTCACACAAAAATTTGACTAAGTTTTTAGATAATAATGAATATTTGTAGTATAAAAAGTATAGTTTTCAACTCGTTTATAAATTTTTATAGACACTTTATTAATTAAACAGTCGCTCGCCAGGTCGCTCGTGTCTAATTAAAATTCGTGACTTAAATTGCGTTTTATAATATTTGAAAAAATACTGTAAATTTTAAGGAATTTCTAAAAACTTCCTGTATAATTTTATATAATTTTTTTCAGTTCGGACGGTTTCAAAGTTGGCTGTGATTGGTCGCGGGCAACATTTAGTCCAGATGGTCAGTACGTAGCTGTGGGATCTGTCGATGGCAGCGTGTATATATGGAATGTGGTCAGTTCAAAAAACGAAACAATACTCAAAGACCATTCGTGAGTATACTTTTATTATTATAAGTAGCATAGAAAAAGTATAGTAGTGCCCGTTTTAGACTGAGAATGTTGCACATAAAGCATTTTCTTATGTTTATGTCTAGTTTTTCTTGATTCATGTTTTACCTAATTTAAAAGCAATAAATATTTATTTTTTAAAAATACAATATTTTAAAAACTACTTTTCGTATAGAATTACGATTTGTATTAAAATTTTAAAAACAATTTTAAATATTAAAGAAAAAAAATTAGGACCTTTAATATTTGTAGGATTTCTTTTTCTATTTAGTTACAAACTTTTCTTATTTCAACAATAGTTAAAAAATATGTAAGCATTAGAATGGGTCGACGAATATCAGATTTTTTTATTAGCAAAAATATTAATCTTTAAGGTAAAAACAAATTGTGTGCAACAAGCTTATTTAAAAATTATCTGGTTAATTTTTAAGTCCAATGGAATTAAAAAAATATATAATTATACCTATTCCAAATTGCAATAGGTATATTTATTAGGGTGTGTCATTTTTAGGCGATATTTTTTTTTTCGCTGTTATACCAGAAAATCTAATACTTTATAGAAAATAAAAAATTATGCCGCCGGGTAAAAGGTTCTAAGTGCAATAGCGGCTTAGCTCATTTAAAAATTCAATTTCCCATTGAAATAACACAGAAAATTTTTTTTGTTCGTTTTAATTAGATTTTTCGCTGTTAAAAACTTTTTTCCCTAAAAACTTTTTTATAGCTTTTGTAGGAAATTAAATTCTCTACAAAATCATCCCTTTGCTCGAAGACCGTATAACCAGTAGTTTCAGAGTTATAGCGCTGGAAATATAAACTTTTATAAAAATAGACCTCAAATTCCATTTTATTTTTCTTCGAGCAAAGGGATGATTTTGTAGAGAATTTAATTTCCTACAAAAGCTATAAAAAAGTTTTTAGGGAAAAAAGTTTTTAACAGCGAAAAATCTAATTAAAACGAACAAAAAAAATTTTCTTTGTTATTTCAATGGGAAATTGAATTTTTAAATGAGCTAAGCCGCTATTGCACTTAGAACCTTTTACCCGGCGGCATAATTTTTTATTTTCTATAAAGTATTAGATTTTCTGGTATAACAGCGAAAAAAAAAATTTCACCTAAAAATGACACACCCTAATATTTATATATTTTCGCTTATTTCTAGGGTTTTAAAATTTTCCGGTAAAATTGAGCCGCGGAAAAAACCATTTCTTTCCGAAAAAATTTTGAAATTTTCAGAAAAATTTTCTTTTGCATTTTTTTTCATTGTATTCAAAAGGTAATGCAAAAAAAATCAAAAGTCAATTTTTCTACAGATAATATATATATATCCGTACTAATTTCGAGAAAAAAGTAAATTTCCGACGCTATTATGATGAATATAATAATTATTTTTTTTATTTTAATTCAGTAAGATTCTATTATTTTTTTCTACCGAGCCGCAAAAAGAACATTTTCGGTGCTGTTAACATAACTTTCGTTTTATATGACATTCTGATATATAAAATTATAATTTTGTTGTAATTTCAACTTTAATTCATTAATTGGATATTTTCAATGAAATTCTTTTTGCAAAAAATACCCAACCGACAGTCTATTTTTTTAATAAAAATAATATTAAAATGTTTGCTACTTTTTTAAAAATGTGTATTTAAAAGAAATCAAGTTTTCCCTAAAAAGTCAATTTTTCCAAGGCCTGGGGAAAAAACGGAAAAAAACAGTTTTCCCCCAATTTTTCAATTTTTTTTTCGACACTTTACCTCCCTTGTCAATGCAACGTGGTTTTATCAAGTTAAGCCGAGCTACTAACTGCTCTTAATCTTCATGGTGCAACCGGAACCGGCACATGGTAAAACACTTCTTCAGAATAATTTAACTCTAAGTACTTGGCAGCAGAGTTGTGTTACAGTTTGTTCTAACTTTGTCCCTTTTAAATATTTTTTTCCTGTCCCAGTTTTGTCCTATTTTGTTTAAATAACCTTTGTTTTGTCTGCTTGGTCTATAATTGGATTTGGATAAGGTTCTTACCCGGTAAGACCACGTTACCAAGCTGGTTGCTAAGTAAATAAGAGTTTTGATTGGTTTAATAAACGTGAAATAAATTACCACTGTAGTTTTTTCACATTGTTTCAAAAATGCATAAGTAAAATATTCGTATATAATACCACTAGTGGTAAAATTTTATCGATACAATTTTTGATTTTTATTCGAATGTTTTTTAATGCCACGAGCGAAATTTCCAAGAAAAAATCTTGAGTAAATAAAAATAAAAAATTTACCAGGGAAAATTTTATCACGAGTGGTATTCGGCAAGACTATTTCACGAATATTTTTTTTTGTAAATTAGAATTAACTGCCGATTCAATTTCTGTATAATTTATTTGACCAAAACGCATATTTTTTTACATTTTTATTTTAAAATTAGAAACGTCAACTTTACAATTATTTTTTGCATAGCAACCAATTGGTTGCTATGCAACTCGTATAAAAGAGTGTTTTTTTTCACCTAAATAGTAGTTTTATAGCTGCAAAACTAAAAAAACACTCGTTTTCTGAAATCTGATTGGTTCATAAAGTAATGAGTGGAATAGTCGCCCTAATATTGTAGTTTCAAGGATAATCCAGATTTAATTTTAAAAATGGCGATTGAGACTAATTTTCATATTAAAATAAATTATTTATGCGATAATTGATAAGCACTTTTTTGTGGCCAATTAAATTTACTAATTAATATAATATATTATTAAAAAAATTGTAAAAAATAATAAAAATATTGAAAATTATTTTGTTAATTAGGTATAACTTTTTTACCTTAAAGATTAATATGTTCGCCATAACCAAATTAATTTAAAAAAAGAAAATATTCGATTTAGATAGTAAGAATGGTAACAATTGTAATCTTTTTGAAAGTTTTATAATTTTTTTATTTAAAAAATTTTCCGTTAATAAAACGATTTTAACTTTTTTTAATTTTTCCAATTTAAAAAAGTTAAAGATTTAAGAAAAAATATTTAAAAAAATATTTATACCATTATTTAAAAGATTTTGGTTAATGCATGAAAAATAACAGTGGGGTTATGACAGGATGTCTAAAACTACTTTTATTATAGAGATTAGTTTACTCAAAACTACCTAACTTTTAAAAACGATTTTTGCAATTTCTTTTTAAATTACTTTAAAAATCTATAAATTCTCTCGGTAGGGTGACGTCATGATTTTAAAATATAAATTGTATTTTCGTAGGTAAAATAGGCTTGCCAAAATTTACGAATGACGCAAATGCAAAAATAAAAATTCCAAACATAACCAAATAGGTACTTTGACCGTTTTTACTTGTAATAAAACCATTAACAGTGTATTTACGCTAGTAAGTATTTTATCTAGATTTTTAAACAATTTAAATATTAAATTTAACCTACAAACCATATTCTTGGCACATCTGTTATAACATCGTGACGTCACGCGCTCTCTTCAAGGTCATCAAAGAGTTTTAATCCTGCGTTTTTTTAAATTTATAAAAAATATTCTAGTATATAATGCTTACATATTTACAATTTCTTATTAAATGTTTTTATGTACCCAATTTTACTTTTCAGCTTTCATTTTTATTCATATTTAAAATTTAACCATTTTAATTTTATAAAGTTTTTGCCAATCTTAAACATTTTAAAAATTTATGTCAATTAATTACATATTTAATTCTTTTGAGTGCTTACATCAATTTCTTTTAATTAAATAATAATTACAACTACGATTTCAACTAATATATATTTCTTGTTGACAGTTGAAAATAGTTTAATATGAATCAAAATTTTATATTATTTTGTCAAAAAATTTATTTTATTTTACCACACGCCATTTTAACTGTTTTAACTGTTGTAGTGTAGTCATATATTTTCCAATAAAATTATTTGCTTTATAAATAAATAATTAATGTAATTAAAATTTAATTACCGAATCTAAATGATAACAACTTGTAAAATAAAATCATTGTTGCTGCACATTTTATGCAAATTAATCTCAATTATTTATTGAAATGTAAATTAAATATTGGTTTGATTGTATTTTAAAACTAATTAATGGGTTTAAATAATTTATAAGACAGGGTTAAATTTAATTTTTAATTAACAAATAATCAAAAACTTAATATAATGTTTAAAATTTATGGTTAAAAGTCGCCATTTTTAAATATAATAAATTTGTATATTTCAAAACAAAGGCTTAGCTTCAAAATTAATATTAAAAAAAATTCTGAACATAAAATACTACATTAGTGCTTCAACACAAACTGGTTAAATCCCTAAAACACGCAAACAATAAACTTTTTGAACCTAAGTAAACATTTTTTTTGAAAAACAGAAATTTAGTTTGTATCGTTTTTAAGTTTTAAATACAAATCTTGAACTAAAAAGCAATGTATTTTTTGCCAACTGTCATTTTATATACAGTTAAAATGAATTAGTTAAAAATGAAAGAAAAAGTTGCCAAAATGATGTAATGCCTCTTGGGGGCGCTATAGGGATTTTAAACTATTTTAAAAAATCAAGTTTTTATTGTTATTGAGGCGAGACATTTTTAAAAACAGTTGGCTCCATGACTTTGTAACAAGAGCACCTTTTTTACGTCAAATTGTCTGGAAAATTTTATTCCAAAATCAAGAATTAAAAAAAAACACAAAAAAATTTAGAAGGTTTTTTCCCCAGTAGTTGCACGCCTATGGTTATCCTTTATCCGATTTGACACCACAATTTTGATTTCTTATTCCAAAATTACCCCAGAAATAAAGTGTCATTATTTTTGCACCAACGTTGCTGAAGTACTTTTGCGAAACAGTTTAAAATGCCTATAGCACCCCAGGAGGCATGTTTAGACATGTTTATAGCAAGTTTTTGTTTAGGTGTAGAATCAGGATATCCTGTATAAAAAAACAACGACTAAAATTTTGGCGTTATAATTTAACTTTTTAGTAAACCTATTTTTGTAGAAGC